GCTTATTTAACTTTTACAAGGAACAATGTCTATTCTGGAATGGTCAACTCAACAGATAGTGGGATGTTCATAAAATAAGCTTCATTGAAATTTTAGACATTTTTTATTTTGATTAGTGGGAAATAAATAATGTCTAAAATTTCAATGAAGCTTATTTTATGAACATCCCACTATCTGTTGAGGTGACCATTCCAGAATAGACATTGTTCCTTGTAAAAGTTAAATAAGCATTGAATAAATTTATAATCCTCAGTTGATCAGTTTTAATTTTTGTTTTACTAAATGAAATTATTATAGTTGAATTATTTTAATGATAATTTCTGAAGTCATGAACAGTTACATATTATACATTCACCAGGATTATGAAACCAGATTAACCCAAAGTTATTCTAGAAGGATATAGCAAATCAAAAACGTTCACAATTTCAAACTTAGAAGGGGTCATCAGATTGGATTGTATAAATAGATTTTATTAATTTAACCATTTTGGAAAATTCTATGATTTATTTACTTATTTAACAGCTGCTTTTATTTAGCAGGTTAAATCAGAAAAGTTAAGAAAAGTAATTTTAGCTGTCCATACTCATAATTTTACAGTATGCATACTACATTGATTCAAGACCAAGTTGTCATCAAAAGCAGTACATTTTTCCATGGAGCATCACTTGAAAATTATTAAGTTAGGATCGGCCAATGGAATTGATTGACGCACAAGTCAATTTGTTAATGTTAAGGTTATGCAAAATATTCTGTGTACAGAACTTCTGGTTTCTAATGGGCTATTGCCAAAAAAAACATGCATATTGTATGTGTCTGCTGCATGCGTGGAATGAAGCAGCTGGTTTTTTTCCCAACTAAGGAAAAAGCTAGGAAGGCTAAGAGATTGAGAAGCAAGAGAAGAAATATTTGGGCGATTGGTGGGCAAATGAGAGATGCAGTGCCTGGAGCTGCAAAGTGGAGGAGGGGAGAGGTACCCCATCTGGATTTTCTTTTATCCAAATTCCAGAACAACCAGAATGTTCCAAGTTTCAGTTCTTCCAAACGGTGGCTGATCCAAAATAGTTTTGCACAATCCCTGGAATGCAATTATTTGTCCAGGATTCAAAAGACATAATTTCCTCCATTTTGTCCATGCCCCTGTAAAATATTTGCAGGGTCCATGCTTTGTGAAGATTACTACACTGAATTTATTTTATATTTAATGTTTATTTGTCTTAGTGCCTCGTAGTGGACCCAGGAATATAAGAGTATTTGACCCAACCACAAACAGTCTTTCCGTTCAGTGGGATCATGCAGATGGACCTGTGCAGCAATATAGAATTATATATAGTCCTGTTTCTGGGGACCCCATAGATGAATATGTAAGTTCATATTTTTTTAAACATATATATAATAGTTGATTTATTATTATTTTGCTGCTGCAAAGTAATGATTGCATTAACTATTAATTTCAATGCCTTTATTGTGTAGAATGTTGAATGAAAAATGAGATGAAAAATACTGTTTTCTCATTGCAAGATTAAAAGGTGGTCATGTCCAAGACAAAGCTACTGAATTACATGTAGACAATACTTTCTTGGAAGAAATCCATCTAACCATTTCTTCAGTCTTCATGTTCCTCAGTGAAGCTAATTTTACAGATCTTGGCATTTCAAACTGCTTACTGGAAAGGGCAAAACTATTTTATCCTCTGAAATAAAACTATTAGAAATAGATCTTGCCCTATTGCAACCCTAGATTCCATCAGATTTAGATTAGTTATGGTATGCTTGTTCCACTGATTTAACTGCATTTAAAAAGTCCACCTGCAACCTATTATAACTCACATAGTAATCTTCACCTAAATCTTGGAGATGTTCTGGTTGCTTGCACCTACTTCTGAAAAGAACTTGCCAACTAAACTGCAAGGACTTGTCCAGGCATTGACTGAGAACCAGACATTGAACGAAAGGGGGGGAAAAAAAACCTAACTCAAGAGCAGAAAGTATAGGGAGGTATTACTTTGGTAATCTGTACAAAGTTGATCAAGAATGAGAAGATACATATTTGTAGAAGCAAATTCTATCCACCTCAATGTAAGGATAATTTCAGTTGATTGCCATTCACTCCTAATGACCGTCATATATCTGTGTTTTATAAACATGAGCAGCAGGAATAAATTTTGGCTCTTAAGTTTTGTTTTGGGCATTCTTCCAATTTTTTTTGATAGTTTATAACTTCCGACTCCAAATTTAGCAGCAAAACTTTCACAATATAGTTTAGCCAGCTTATTTCCCATAGGGAGGTTAAAGGCATACGTTCTGTTGGCTACTGTACAATATATATATACACACATACATACATACATACATACATACATACATACATACATACATACACATAAACATACACATACACATACACATACACACACACACACACACATATACACATACACATACATACATACATACATACACACACTCAGGCATAGTTAGTTATGATTATTGCTTATTTCTGAATGAACCTATATTTTTTGTTATATCTGAGTACTGTACTTGAAGAAAATATATGCTGGCATAGTGTAAAAAGTAAAAACATTAATGGCCAATCTGTGGGCGATTAAAGGATATGAATGCTTGTTGTATTGTATTGTATTGTATTGTATTGTATTGTATTGTATTGTATTGTATTGTATTGTATTGTTTTATTATTGACTTAATTATATACGTTATATAACTGTGATCTACTTATAGTGCACAGTGATTAAGACAGTAGGCAATCCAAATAATATAAAAACAAATAAATTACTGAACTAAATTTTAGTCTTCATGTTTGAGCCTGTATCTAGTTCCATTTTTGGATGGTTTTTACCATTATACTGTTAAACTATGCAATTTAATGCAAATGCTGACAGGCATAACTCCTCAAAATGTGGTTAATGTGGTCGGTGGACCAAAATAAAACTTCCTTTGGTCCAGTCTGTTTACATACTACAACTTATATGATTGGTAAATTATTAATAATTCCTAATCTAATAATTGTACAATATTTACCTGACTGTAATTTGTTTTAGACAACAGTACCTGGCAGAATAAACACTGTATTGCTACAGCCTTTGCAGTCAGATACACCTTATAAAATTACAGTTGTAGCAATTTATGATGATGGAGATGGTGGACAAGTGACAGGAAATGGAAAAACAGGTATATTTAATATAACTGCTCTTTTTGATTTTATATAACAAAGTTTAGCCGACACTGAAGGAGACCTTAAAGTCTGTAAAAGAAAAAAATATACAGAATTACTGTCTTTCAAATTACTCCTCCAAACCAGTTAAAGTAGCTTTGTACGAGGAAAATTTGCCATTTGTCAACCAAAGGATCCAAAACTATAAATTAATTTTATTTATTTTAGTATGGAAGTTTTAGCCTTTCACAATTTTGAAAAAAGTAAAAAAAAAAATAGACTTGGCATTAGACTTTATCAAATGCCTTTTTTCCTAACTTAATACATGTAATTTTTTATTTTTTTTTAGTTGGGCTGATTTCTCCTCAGAATATTCATATATCCGATGAATGGTATACTCGATTCAGAGTGTCCTGGGATCCTGTCACATCTCCTATCTTAGGATACAAAATTGTGTATAAAGTTGCAGGTAAGATTACGAACGCTGGGCTGCCAATATGCGAATATGGCTTTGAGGCTAAATATTATCAGCAACTTTCAATAATTGTTATCTAAGCAGGCTTTGCTGTAGTTTTACAAGAGAGGCCTCTACTTAACATTCCCAGAGAATTGTTGTCAGCAACATAGGAATTCTCAGTTGGAGGATTGTCTGGCTCATTATAAAGCAGCTTTTTATGTTAATGCATAGGACTACACATTAATATTCTTTTTCATACTTTTTCTTCTTCTAAGGTTCCGATGAGCCCTTGGAGGTGTTTGTTGGAGAGGTGACTTCATATACTTTACACAACTTATTGCCAAGTACCACTTACGATGTGAAAGTATATGCTCAGTACGAATCTGGACTTAGTGAACCTTTGGTTGATCAAGGAACCACATGTAAGACCCTCCCTCAATATAAGACCCTCTCACAATATATTAATGCTGACATGAGAATACTAATGATTGCAGCAAGGAAGCTTGATCTCTTAGAATTTGCCTGCTCGGTAGAAAAGATGAATTTCCTGAAGAAATAGCCTATTATCTTCAGCTTTGGGGGAACATGCCATTGTCCAAGAAATGTTCAGTCCCTAAATCATTGTGGGTCATTTTAGCATCACGCTGTTATCTCTGCGTTTAACTCAATGAAACCTGTCAATTTTCCTAAAACAGCTGTTTCCTTTATATAAATACATGATAGCAGTATCATGCTACAGCTCAATTTTGGATGAATATTGAATGTCAAATTTAGTGTCGATCAGTAACGTGCGGTCAGCTTTAGCCCCGATGAGGCACTTTTTAGACTTGTGGACTTCAACTCCCAGAATTCCACAGCCAGGCATGCTCAGTTCCAATTTAAA